ACATACATAGGGACAAGGACATACATAGAGACATAGGGACACGACAGAGGCAGGCATTGAGACAGAGACAAGAACAGTGACAGAGAAAGACAGAAACTGAGTGGCAAGCAGAGATAGAGACAGGGTTATAGATATTGGGAAAAAGATACAGGGAGAGAGACAGGGATATAGATACTGGGATAAGATACAGGGAGAGAGAGAGACAAGGATATAGATACTGGGAAAAGGAGACAAGGAAAGAGAGACAAGGACATAGATACTGGGATAAAGATACAGAGAGAGAAAGAGACAGGGAGAGAAAAACAGGGACATGGAAACAGGGACAGATTAAAATGAACAACAACTGACATGACTTCATCAAAAATCCCAATAAAAGCTTTGATGCTCTCTCATCTCTCCAAGGGAAGCCATATTTAATAAATCTAAATCTCTAGTGAATCCTGTCCATTACAATGTTACAGTACATTCAAGCACGAACATCTGAACACCGCATTTCTACAAAGTAAAATACAACCCATGTCAAGACCAATTTGGTATTTTGATTAAAATAACAATATTCTAACAAAATGTCTTTAATAAAAACGGTTGATTTGACACGAGGCGTTTAAGATGATGTTTTCTTAACAAACAAATCCCAATTCTCCATGAGTAGAGACACGCTAACGGCATTTGAATTTGAAAATGAGTCCACTAATATTATTCATTCCTCCATCCCTCATGAACAAAACAAGAAGTGAGAAAGAGCGTATTTCTGTGTGTGTTTCTGTGTGTGTTTCTGTGTGTGTTTCTGTGTGTGTTTCTGTGTGTGTTTCTGTGTGTGTGTTTCTGTGTGTGTTTCTGTGCGTGTTTCTGTGCGTGTTTCTGTGTGTGTGTTTCTGTGTGTGTTTCTGTGCGTGTTTCTGTGCGTGTTTCTGTGCGTGTTTCTGTGCGTGTTTCTGTGCGTGTTTCTGTGCGTGTTTCTGTGCGTGTTTCTGTGCGTATTTGATCAGACTCCCCATGGTACAGTGTGAATTGCAGTATCAGAAGTTCAGATGTGGGACACTGTAAAACTGAGTGCATCGGCAGTGTTTAAATTCCTATTTGTCTTGCTTTTATCAGGTTTTATGAGTTTTGTAAGGGAGGAGCTGTTCTCTATTGGGGGGGGTTCAGTCACTGAGATTGCAGTTTAGACTTACAGTTGCTAAGCATACATCTGTCTCTGTGTGTGTGTTTGTGTGTGTGTGAATGTGTGTGTGTGTTTGTGTGCATGTGATAGGGGTTATTTATAGGCCACATTCACCACTAACTGAACCCTTGTCGCAAAATTGCAGACATGGAACCCCCTGTTGCTTCCATCCTCAGTAAACCGGGGCATTTACCCATTACCCACCCTACACACACACACACACACACACACACACACACACACACACACACACACACACACACACACACACACACGCACGCACACACACACGCACTCACGCACACACGCACGCACGCACGCACACACACACACACACACAGACACACACACACACACACACACACACACACATCCACCAGCCGGTCACGCTGTATCCCGTTGGTGATAATCTGACACCTCCCATTCCCACCAGATTTACCAGGAACTAATCATGTCTGTGCGGCTGATTGTTATTGCATTTCTGGTACATCTGTTTGAGTGCACATATGTGTTGGGGAGTGTGCGGATCTGTACACCTCCTCAGCTCTATATCAGGTGCGGTTGGGTTCAGTATGTGTTGGGGAGTGTGCGGATCTGTACACCTCCTCAGCTCTATGTCAGGTGTGGTTGGGTTCAGTCACTACTCGCTACAGTCCCAGAGACACATAACTTGTAGAGACATGATCTGTCTGTCCATCTGTCTGTCCATCTGTCTGTCAGTCTGTCCAATAGACTGTCTCTCTGTCTGTCTGTGCGTCTGTCTGCCTGTGCTTCTGTCTGTGTGTCTGTCTGTCTCTCTGTCTGCATGCATTTGTATTCTGTTGGATTTAACCCATCTGTCTGCCTGTGCATCTGTCTGTCTGCATGCATTTGTATTCTGTTGGATTTAACCCATCTGTCTGCCTGTGCATCTGTCTGTCTGCATGCATTTGTATTCTGTTGGATTTAACCCATCTGTCTGTCTGCATGCATTTGTATTCTGTTGGATTTAACCCATCTGTCTGTCTGCATGCATTTGTATTCTGTTGGATTTAACCCATCTGTCTGTGTGCATGCATTTGTATTCTGTTGGATTTAACCCATCTGTCTGCCTGTGCATCTGTCTGTCTGCATGCATTTGTATTCTGTTGGATTTAACCCATCTGTCTGCCTGTGCATCTGTCTGTCTGCATGCATTTGTATTCTGTTGGATTTAACCCATCTGTCTGCCTGTGCATCTGTCTGTCTGCATGCATTTGTATTCTGTTGGATTTAACCCATCTGTCTGTCTGCATGCATTTGTATTCTGTTGGATTTAACCCATCTGTCTGTCTGCATGCATTTGTATTCTGTTGGATTTAACCCATCTGTCTGTCTGCATGCATTTGTATTCTGTTGGATTTAACCCATCTGTCTGTCTGCATGCATTTGTATTCTGTTGGATTTAACCCATCTGTCTGTCTGCATGCATTTGTATTCTGTTGGATTTAACCCATCTGTCTGTCTGTGCATCTGTCTTTCTGCATGCATTTGTATTCTGTTGGATTTAACCCATCTGTCTGTCTGCATGCATTTGTATTCTGTTGGATTTAACCCATCTGTCTGTCTGTGCATCTGTCTGTCTGCATGCATTTGTATTCTGTTGGATTTAACCCATCTGTCTGTCTGCATGCATTTGTATTCTGTTGGATTTAACCCATCTGTCTGTCTGCATGCATTTGTATTCTGTTGGATTTAACACATCTATCTGTCTGCATGCATTTGTATTCTGTTGGATTTAACCCATCTGTCTGTCTGTCTGCATGCATTTGTATTCTGTTGGATTTAACCCATCTGTCTGTCTGTCTGCATGCATTTGTATTCTGTTGGATTTAACCCATCTGTCTGCCTGTGCATCTGTCTGTCTGCATGCATTTGTATTCTGTTGGATTTAACCCATCTGTCTGTCTGTCTGCATGCATTTGTATTCTGTTGGATTTAACCCATCTGTCTGTCTGTGCATCTGTCTGTCTGCATGCATTTGTATTCTGTTGGATTTAACCCATCTGTCTGCCTGTGCATCTGTCTGTCTGCATGCATTTGTATTCTGTTGGATTTAACCCATCTGTCTGTCTGCATGCATTTGTATTCTGTTGGATTTAACCCATCTGTCTGTCTGCATGCATTTGTATTCTGTTGGATTTAACCCATCTATCTGTCTGCATGCATTTGTATTCTGTTGGATTTAACCCATCTGTCTGTCTGTCTGCATGCATTTGTATTCTGTTGGATTTAACCCATCTGTCTGTCTGTGCATCTGTCTGTCTGCATGCATTTGTATTCTGTTGGATTTAACACATCTGTCTGTCTGCATGCATTTGTATTCTGTTGGATTTAACCCATCTGTCTGTCTGTCTGCATGCATTTGTATTCTGTTGGATTTAACCCATCTGTCTGTCTGTGCATCTGTCTGTCTGCATGCATTTGTATTCTGTTGGATTTAACCCATCTGTCTGTCTGCATGCATTTGTATTCTGTTGGATTTAACCCATCTGTCTGTCTGCATGCATTTGTATTCTGTTGGATTTAACCCATCTGTCTGTCTGCATGCATTTGTATTCTGTTGGATTTAACCCATCTATCTGTCTGCATGCATTTGTATTCTGTTGGATTTAACCCATCTGTCTGTCTGTCTGCATGCATTTGTATTCTGTTGGATTTAACCCATCTGTCTGTCTGTGCATCTGTCTGTCTGCATGCATTTGTATTCTGTTGGATTTAACCCATCTCCACGGCTGCTTGATGCCTTAGACGTCTCACCCTAAAACACATCCTTACCCCTGGCCTCTTTTCCCCTGTCTTCAAGTCTGTCTCCCTCCCTCCTCCCTCTTCTCTCCTCTCCCTCGCGCCACGCTTGTTGAGGACCTGTCATCTTCCCGGCGCGTCTGCAGTGCCTGATCAAAGAGGGGAGGCGGTGGAGAGAGAGAGGGAGAGAGAGAGGGAGAGAGAGAGTGTGTGTCTGTTTTCGGGGTGAAAAAGAGGACACGATGGCACTCTGACACAGATCCAAACCCGGCAGCAGATGTGTGCTGAAGAATAGCTGCAATACATATCAACCTGTGCCCGTTACCCCTTCAGGTGAACTAACCTCTCAATCTGTCTGCTGTTGAGCGTTTCTTCCGACTGATCCGGAGTCATGAGGATGGGAATGTTACCCAAATCCGCATGGAAGAGTGAGGATAGCAGTTGAACTCCATTTCACCTGCCTCTCACTGGGCAACCAAACCGCAAACACGATCTGTGCTAATTACAGAGCCTAAAAGTGACTGTGAAAGAGAGAATTAATACAGCTTAGATGAGACAAATTCTGTTAATTATACAACGCTTATAACAGTGTGATGTTCCCCAGTGGGGAGGTGGACATCCTGGATCGATCCGAATCTCTTTATTCTAAATGCTGCTTTTTCACCAAAACAAAAAGCCGGGTAAAATAATCGGTTACATTGAATAGCACAAAGCCTGTAACTTGAATAGCGTTTTTTTGGCAGCTTATGAGATGGGGGGGTGAATATGTTGTGTTTTACCAGTGGCTCAGGCACCACTAGGTGTCATTCTTGGATTTGTACGCTGGAATTAAAGTATGATTGTCCATATTTGATTAACGTGGAACCAGTGCCGTAACCAGGATTTTTCAAATACCGAGGTCAAAAATACCCCCCCCCCCTTTTTTTTAATCAAAATAAAATAAAAGTCTGAGTTTGAATGTTTGCGAAATGCTGCTAACCTACCTGTAATATAGGTAGTAGCAGGGGCGGACTGGCCATCTGTGTGATCTGGTACTCCATCACACACAGTCATCACTTGTTATTCTCCACTAATCTGTTGGAGTTGTGGTTAGTGCGCTTGGCTGAGGATCAGGGTGATGCGGGTTCGATTCCCTCACCAGATGCCACATTATGTCTTTAGATTTAATTTTCTGAATTCTAATGTTGACCATGTGTATGATGTATTTAAAACAGCTAAACTTCAACATTTTAGCTCTAAAATGCCACATGCAGTAGCTAATATTAAGAAATATGTTGTGCTTTTACTTTTTTAGTCCCACCCGTCCCTGGGTAGTATCAGCTGGCTTTTTTAAAGTCCCATTCATTAAAGCTGTATAGTTTTGCAATCGAAGTTCGCACTAATTCTACAATTCGAAATTCTAGTGAAATGCACCTAGTCGTTATCTAAGGGATTATGTTCAACAAATACTGAATATCATCCCTGGGCCATGTCGGTCTCATTCCGCGCTCACAAGAGTACAAAGGTATAGGGAAAACATGACATGGATTTCAGGAGAAATAACTTTGGTTAATGTGTAAGGCAAGTCAAATGGATTTGGGAAATGGACCGACCGGGATTTTATATTTTCGGTGCTGAAAAGAATGTTTTAGCAGTCACATCGATATTGCCCGCATAATCATACAGTAGCCTATGATCAATATGGGGTGGACCAATTGTCCCTCTTTGAATATTGGGGGGACGTGTCCCCCTGCCCCCCCATAGGATTACGCCTATGTGTAAAAATATATATTAGCCTATACCAGTTAAGTCCTGAAGACAACGACTACAGCCAACTATTTCTGTTTTGACTGACAAGACAAGTAGGCTACGTGTCCGTGACGACGATCCGTAGACTTCTCAACTCGTCGGCTATTTTCCATTCACAATGAAATTAAATAATATATATCACAGAAAAAAATACAGAGGACATGACCTCGGTGTCCTCAATGGTAGTTACGGCACTGCGTGGAACGTGGAACTCGTGACATTCTAAGGGGGAATGTTATGAGTTCTCTTGGATATTTGTCTGATAGTAAATGTGTATGAAAGTTAATTTAGTTTGAATGTTGTGTACAAGTCCCACATCTCGCTTAGATTTTTTGACTCGCTCTTCGTACTTTTTTCATACGTAGTATAATTTAGTATAATTTATCTCAGATGTAAGCACAGTTAGCTAGCTGAAGTTAAGTAGCTGGCTAAGTTAAAACATTTTACTGACTTTATGTAGCTGCTCCAAATACTTTGTTCGATGACAGTAATATATGGCCATGCTTTGTTTGCCTAAATAAGTGAGCTGTCTGTCGTCCAATTAATATTCTGTGGAATAAAGCTGGTCAGGGAAAATGGTTTGTATCAGAATAATTTGTTGTGCTTAGAAGAGTAGGTGTGTGTGTGTGCGTGGGAAAGAACTGTGTAGGCAAATTGTTTGTGTGTGTGTTTAAGAGGGAGAGAGAGACTACAACAATGTGATGATTTTCACTAATCTGATATGATGATTTGTCACTCATCCGATATGATGATTTGTCACTCATCCGATATGATGATTTGTCACTCATCCGATATGATGATTTGTCACTCATCCGATATGATGACTTGTCACTCATCCGATATGATGATTTGTCACTCACATCTGATATGACTAACATTTTCCCCTATTGTTTTTAGGTTGTGGAGTCTGCAATTTAATCAAATTAAATTCAACAGAAATATTCAAGGAGAAGCGTGTGGTGATTTCAGAGCAGTGGTCCGGTTTTTCCATTGGGATTTCTGGGACGAGGAACAGAGAAACCCTTTTGACAGTAATGCTAAACAAGATAAAAAGGCACCATTATTCAAACACCCATGAAATATCTCTAAATACATCGGAGTAAAAGGAAAATGATGGCATTAGCCAGACAATAAGGCCCTTTAAAGAATTAATTATTATTAGGCTAAAAACAACTGTCCATTTGAGTGAGCATGAGAGCCTAATTGACCCGAAGAGGCTGAATGCAATGGATTAAGGAAAAACTACACTGAAGACACAGCACCATTAAAGTAGTGGCGTATATGGCAAGTGTAATAAGACAGACTCTAGGGAAGCAGATTCATTCAGATTAGCTTAATCGATCAGTCCACTGCACTACTCAACAAGCAAGGGATGACTGTCACTGGTGACGGGTCTGTTGAATGTATCGTTCACGAACTCACTTGACAATCAGAAAGCTGAGAGTCAGTCCTTCTGAACTGTCTGAGACAGGCAGGATTCACAGTGAGATGGTTAAAAGCCCATTTGTGCGTGTAGAGACTGTGTGTAAAGTCTGCTTCACATCTACACTGGTGATTTAGCTTGAGTGTGACGTACCTAACCAATCAAAGTGTGATGTCTCACCAAGCATTATTATGGCAGCATTTCATCTAAAATTCTCTCTTTCACATGTAGCATTTACTTATTGTTCCACCTCACATTTTTCCTCTAACATCTCTCTTTATAAAGCACAACTTTTACATTTATTTTTTTCAAAATAATGTTCTTAACATTTACAGTTTTTATCAATCTATTTGGCACATTTACAGAAACAAGCTTCCAGTTGTCAAAACTCCAAGTACAATCCTCACATCCCGTGGTTTATTCTACTCACCCTCTACATGACCTGCAGAACGTGATCGATCTATCAAAATGATCATGTTTAAGATCTACCATGAGTACATGAGCTGTGACATTCCCACAACCAGCATCCATTGCCCCCCAGTATGGACAGCAGGTCTTCTGAACAGTGATCATAGATCTTCCAACTCCATACAGAAGATATCTCCTCCATGTGACTAAGGTTGTTCAATAGCAAATGAAGGCAAACTATTGTGATCTGCGATATACACTCAACACATTTTGTGCCGTAGCAATTATAAATGACTACAGTCATGTGACCAAATGACATAATGCTTGTATAGTACGTCATACAGTTTGACAAAGTTTAACAGGCATTCAGGCAGGTTGTGTCGAAGCCATTGAGAAATCATAAACAGTAAATGTACCTCAGTGATCTTATTCGTGTGAGCTGAGAGGGAAACAGTTACCTGTTAATGGCGGCTAAATAATAATGTCTAGACCGGTTCAGAATCAGCCATCTATTCATCGTTCTGCCGGCCTTGGTGAATTAAGTGCCGGGTTGTGACAATACGTCTGGCCATCTTCTAGTCTTCCAGTAATCCAGGAACCTTGAACCCACCTGCTCTGAGTAGCTCACTCTCAGATTCTTCAGCAAGCTCCTGACACAATAAGCTCTTAAATCAGTTAGGAGTTTGGACAGATACAGATGGGACTGTGTTTATGGTTTGTTATTATGCTGACATCTCAGTAGGAGGGCAACCTCCCTGTTTCTCCTTCTCCTCCTCAATCTACAATACTAGTTCATTCTCCTCCCCCACCCCACCCCCCGTCTCTATCCCCCTCTCGCTCTCTTTATAACTTTTTCAAAAATAGGATCAAACGGTATTCTGAGACAATGCCCGGCTATGTACTCAAGAACACAGAGTGACTCACGCTATATGCCATACAAATGTATTTCTGTTACGTTGAACAACCAATACTCCCCTAGCACAGCTGTTCTAGACTGTTCCGTGCACCTTAGAGTCTGAGAACGGCACTAGATCGGTCAGAACAACGGGTCCTCAGACTCGGCTGGACGTTCACAGAAATTCTCCTGCATCCAGATATGCCCGGACAGGTGTCTCCACAGGACTACAGCCGTGCTGGGCCACACAAGGGTGTCATTATGGTCCGACTCCCATGGGAGAAGTGGAGAACGAGGAGTGAGGGCTGGGAAAGGAGGGTAGAGGAGGGCTGGATTGGAGATCAAATGAATGAAGGTAGACTCTCAGGGCCACAACAGTGAGACACAAGACTATTCAGATTGGAAGCAGACCGAAAGAAAAGCGGAAGAGGGAAAGGATAGAAGGTTAGTATCTGACAGCAGTTACCACGGAGATGCACCAATACCTTATTGCTATTAAATAACGGCATTTTTTTTAAACGACTGAGCATCCCAGCCGATCCAAATAGTCGTTTTGTTCAATTTTCGTTTCTTTATCGCCCATTTCACCCTCTTCAGTCTCATCTGGGGAGGAAAGGAGGGAGCAGATGAAATGCACACACACACACACACCAACACACACACTCACACACACACCAACACACACACCAATACACACACTCACACACACACACACCAACACACACACACACTCACACACACACACACACACACACACACACACACACACACACACACACACACACACACACACACACACACACACACACACACACACACACACACACACACACACCACACACACACACACACACACACACACACACCAACACACACACACACTCACACACACACACACACACACACACACACCAACACACACACTCACACACACCAACACACACATACAAACAGAACCCCCTCGTTGGAATCATGCTCAAGGTGAGGTGAAGCGATGGAGGGAGATGCAGAGAGAGAAGAGAAGTGACAACCATCTCATGTCAGCTCTCTTGTCACAATCAAAGGTCACGTTGACAGATCCTTTTCCCCTTCTCTTTTCCCGGCTTCTGTCTTCTCTTTCTTCATCCTGTCAAAGGCCTGCTGGGTACTTCTCTTCAACTAAAACTCTCCTGTGATGAGCGTGTGTGTGTGTGTGTGTGTGTGTGAATTCTAGATACAGTACAGGTGTGTGTGTGTGTGTTTCCATCTGTGTGTATGATCAGAGAGAGTGTTACCTGTCATATTGGAGATACTCTGTAGGTTCATGTGGAGGTTAGATGTTTCTCAGGGGTTTTGTGTTCCTCTTGAATGAAAGATCAGAAAACAGAGAGGGAGAGAGGACAGCTTAACAGTGTCCGCACATAGAAATTCCACCAACCCAGCCTCCCCGCAGTGTACGTGTGTGTGTGTGTGTGTGTGTGTGTGTGTGTGTGTGTACGTGTGTGTGTGTGTGTGTGTGTGTGTGTGTGTGTGTACGTGTGTGTGTGTGTGTGTGTGTGTGTGTGTGTGAGCACGCGAGTGTGTGTATTCGTTTCCCTTCCGGCTAGAAATGTTCAGGGCTTTTCTTCTTCCATATCAGATTTGTTTGAGA